TGTGTGTGTGTGTGTGTGTGTGTGTGTGTGTGTGTGTGTGTGTGTGTGTGTGTGTGTGCGTGCTGAGGATTCAATGGGTGTGTGTGTGTGTGTGTGTGTGTGTGTGTGTGTGAAGTGAATGATGTAATAGGAAAGGTTACCCCATTTTTTCCTTCCTCAGTCTGTCCTCTGTGGCTCTCATGGTCCTTGGAGCAGTAACCACACTCTGGGCCAAGGCTACAGGCACAGGAATCTAGATTTTAATAAATAAATAACCTAACACACAGGGTGAGCACGGTGAGCAGCTCTGATCAGAGAAGCAGCTTGCTGGGTTCTTTCTTGGATAGTAGTGGAGAAATGGCTTGGAGTTCTACTCCTTAAAACTTCTGGCTTGAGTTACAGGAACTTAATACCTGGAGGGAAAAAGAAAGACAAGAGGGTGATGTTATCAGCTAGTGGGGATGCTGGAACACGAAGAGCCTGCCTAAAGGTGTAGCCAAGAAGCAGAAGTCCTTCTGGAGTGTAGATAATTGTGGCCCCTTTTCACATCTGTGAAAAGGGGCCAATACATCTTGGGAAGGGGAATATCCCTTAAATGTTTGAGGAAGGTTTCAAAGAATTCTTTGGAGGTAAACTGAGGAGGAGTCAGTTTACTTTCCTGAGTTCATATAAATGTATATGGTGAGGGATGCAAAGATCAATTCCAGTGCAGGAAGCTCTTCACCACCTAGGCTTTCCTGATTTCTGGGGAGCTCAAGGCACCTGTAGTAATTAGGCTTGAAGGGCCCATTCTTATTGAGTCCCAGATACTTGGCCTGTTCATCTGTCAGCTCTGTCAGGTGGGCATCGAAGGTGGGTAGGTGTAGACTCGCCACATACTCATCTGGAAGAGACCACAGAAGCCCATTTATAAGTATTCATCCCTCCTATCTGGCTGTTCTCCACTCCCCAGGTAAGGATTTAAACATTTGAAAAACACCTTCAGATTCCTGGAGCAGAGTGAAACATGCTTAACTTTTGCTTATTGGCCCTCAATTCTAAGGAATGGTTGCCTTCAGCTTCAAGCCCAATGCCTTTCAAAGCTGTAACATCTCTTCCTTACCATCTCTTTCAGCCTTGAACCTTTCCTTCTCTCCAGGAAGGTGAGAGATGAAAGAAGCAATAATCCTTAGGGATAATCCAAAAGAATGGGCTAGTGAGGGGACTGAAAAATGGAAAGCTCCAACCTTAATTATGCCTTGGATGCTTACTTTGGGTCAAGGAGAAAAGCTAACACCTAGGAAAATTAGAAAGTATCAACTGAAAGGGATACTAGTTTCCTTTGCTTTTAGTTTTTTTGAAACAGGGTCTTGCTATGTAGTCTAAGGTTGCCTTCAACTCACTATGGAGCCAAGGCTGGGGCTAGCCTTGAACTTGTGGTGATCTTCCTGCCTCAGCCTTCTCAGTATTCAGATAACAGGCATGTGCCACCTTTCCCAACTCTGCTTTTATTTATTTTATTTATTTATTTTTTGTGTGGTACCAGGGAATCGAACTTGGGCCCTTGTGCTTGCAAGTCAGGCAGCGGAACCACTGAGCTAAATCCCTGGCTCAACTCTGCTTTTAGTACTCTTCCTTCTTGTGTATTTCTGTTTATAGTCTATTATCTGAATACATTGTACTTACTCATAATATTAAAAATATTCTTGGGCCAGGGATTTAGCTCAGTGGTTCAGTGGCCTGCCTCGCAAGCGCAAGGACCTGAGTTCGATCCCTGGTACCACACACACACACACACACACACACACACACACACACACACACAAATGTTATATAGTTGTTTGGTCTCCTCAACTTCATTATATATCTAATCAGAATACGGACTGTTTATTGTAGATCCTTTTAAACCGTCCATTAAAGAGAAAATATAACAACTTCTAACAGTTGCTAAAATAAAACCAGAAGTTGATTTATTCCTGACTTTTGCCTGAGGGGTCTATAAACACACTGTACCATTCAGTGTGTGTGTGTGTGTGTGTGTGTGTGTGTGTGTGTGTTTGGGGACCAGGGATCAAACTCAGGACCTCATGCTTTCAAGGCAGGTGCAATGTCACTAAGCGAAAGCCCCTGTCCTAGGGACTTTAAAGTTTTAAGACAGTTTAATGTTTCTCTTATACCATTATGCACAAAACTAAACTCTTAATAGGAGCTACTCCTAATGCCTTTGGCCAGAAGCAACTGGGCTACCATTGGAAGGTGTAGTTTGAAAGTCAGGGCTATTTAACAGCCTAGAATTGGAATAAATCAGATGCCACAAGGTAGGAGATGATTTCTTTCTTTTGGGGGAATCTTTTTTGTTTTTGGGATTCTTGCATACAATATACTTTTAAGAGAGAAATTCAAAATTCAGAGGCAGGTAAGCTAAGTCACAGCAAAATAAGAAATTCACTATGGCAACCCATGTGGAAAATGGGATAAATTAACTGTGAATGGGACCTAGGAATCCTATCTCCTATTATATAAGATAAAGATATCCTTATTTTTTACTCCCTAAGCTTCCTTTAGCCCTGGATTCTGAACTACTTTGGTAAGAATGAGGAAAAAAAGAGTGCATGCTTACCCATTTTCTTAGGTAACAGGTAGACATCCTGCTTATAGCGACCCTCAGGAGCATTATAGAGCTCTATCAAGGCGAGAGCCTGAAAGGCAGAGAGGTGGATACTGACACAGCGTTCACAGCAGGCTACCCTGCAGCAAGTGAAACACTGTCCACTCTGTTCTACTCCAGAGGCCTTACCTGAGTAGTTGCAGTGATTGAGAGCACAAATGTAGGCACTGTGGAGCAGCTTAGGTTCAGCAGACGGCCCTAGTCATGAAAGGTGAAAACACAGAGGTGTTAGGACACCTGCTGGCCTTTGAGAAGTGAGGGAAGAGCAGAACTGCCACTCTCCAAACCCTTCCCAACATACACTGCTAGATGCAAAGCAGGTTTTCAATAATAGAACTGACAACTTTCCTGTCTTTCTTTTTTTTGAGACAGGGTCTCGCCATGTAGTTCAGGCTGGAATTGAACTCACTATGCTGTCCAGGCTTTGAATTCACAGTGATCCTCCTGCCTCAGCTTCTCAAAAGTGGGATTATAGGCAAGTTGTTTCCATTTCTTGGCAACTATTTTGTTTTTTTTGAAGTGCTTAAAAAATGTTTTATTTAAAATTTATTTTTTGCAAGCGCAAGGTCCCAAGTTTGATCCCCAGGACAAAAACAAAAACAAAACAAAACAAAACAAAAAAACAAAATAAAATTTATTTTAAACTGATACATAAAAACAAAAATTGAACATACAGGGTACCATGTGATGTTTCAATTCACATATATATTATATAATGTTTAAATCAGGTGAGCACATCTATCTCCTTAACGTTTACCATTTCTTTATAGCGAAAATATTAAAAAATGATTTTTGGCTTTTTGAAATATACTGTGCAATGACACTCTTACTTCTATCTAGTACTCACTCATCAACCTCTCTCTTTTTTTTTCCCCTTGGTACTGGGGATTGAACTTAAGACCTTACGCTTGCCAGGTAGGTGTGGTGCCACCTAGCTAAATCCCTATCCCTGATCAACCTCTTATCCCTGCCTCTTTGATATTACCATTCTCAGCCTCTAGTAACCATTATTCTTCTCTCAGCTTCCAAGACATCAAGTTTTTTTTGTGACAGGGTCTCGCTATGTAGCTCAGGCTGACCTGGAACTCATGGTGAAACTCCTACCTCAGCTTCCTGAATGCTGGAACTGTAAGCGTACACCACCATGCCAGGCCTGCATCAACTTTTTTAGGTTCCACATGAGTAAGATCATATTATAGTATTTGTTTTTCCATGCCTGACTTATTTCACTTAGCATAATGATCTATGTTGTTGCAAATGACAGGATCTCATACTTTTTTATGGCTGAATAATATTCTACTGCGTATATATACACTGTCTTTTCTTTATTTTTTTCCCCAGTACCAGGGATCAAACTCAGGACCATGTGCTTGCAAGGCAGGTATGGCGCCACTGAACTAAATCCCCAGCCCTACATCTTTTCTTTACCCTTTCATCAACTGATAGACAACTGAGTTTTTTCCATTTCTTGGTTACCATGAATACTACTACAATAAAATGGGGAGTACAGATGTGTCTCTGACATACTGATTTCATTTCCTTTGGTTATATGCCCAGGAGTGGGACTGCTGGATCATGTGGTAATTCTATTTTTAATTTTTTTTTTCAGTTTTTTAAGGAACCTGCACATATTGTTTTCCATAATGGCTGTACTAATTTACATTCCCATCAACAGAGTGTAAGCATTCCCTTTTCTCCATATACTTGCCAGCATTTGTTATCTCATGTTTTTGATAATGACCATTCTTATGGGGGTTAGATGGTATCTCACTGTAGTTTTAATTCACATTTCCTGGTGATTTGTGGTGACCATATTTTCATATACTTGTTGGTCATTTGTATGTCTTCTTTGGAATTGACTGCTCTTTTTAAAAAATCACTGATAATTCTGGAAAATTTAGTAAAGGTACTAGATAAACGATTTCTGGAGTTATGTAAAAAGGAATAGTCAGTGATGCTGAGGTTTATGCCAGGGAAGCATACATTTCTCCTGAATTAATTTTTAACTCTCTATAGCAAAATATTCTCCTTCTGAGAACTGACATTCTTTTGAAAGACTGTCTTAGACAATGTCTAGTCAAGTCCAGGAGCAGTCTCTCCAGGTTGGGAGGATAGATATCTATGGCTTTATGAAGATGTGATGATTTTTGTTTCTGCCTCAGTTTGGTTCTCCCGAGTGCAACAGCAGCCTTGAATTTTGAGTAGATGATTCAGAAAAAAAGAGATGGAAACTCTCCCTATGCTACCCTTTTCTATTTTGTTTCCTAGGAAGCCTGACTATTGTTTTTGTTAAACCACACAGGCAAAAAAACACTGACGATGCTTGCTTTGTCATCAAAGTTACAAAATGAGAATTCCCAGGCCAACCAGAAATAGTTGCCAGATAGCCAGCTGACATCAATGCTATTAATGCACATTTAATGCTCTCCCCTCCCTTACTCCATGTGAAGAAATAATTCAGTCCCTTTACAAATGTCCTACAATAACTGAGAAGGTAAGATAAGCAAGGAAATTGTGATGAGAACAGTAAGGATAATCAAATCTAATTTTATGGACCCTTAGATAAAGACAGGATATTATTTATATTTTCATTGTTTCTTTACCATAAAAAAAAAATTAGAAAAAAACAATGAAATAAATACGCTGAGCATGGTGGTGCATGCCTGTAATCCCAGCACTTGGAAAGCTGAGGCAGGAGGATCACTTCCAGTTCAAGGCCAGCCTGGGCTGCATAATGAGTTCAAGCTGGCCTGAACTACATAGTGAGACCCTGTCTCAAAAACAAATGAATAAACAAACAACAAAAAATAAAGCAAAACTGACTAAAAATTCAAACTCAAGAAAACTATTATTATACTTCTTATTATTTTGATATCTTTCCCTGAAGAGGTTTTGCAGTAAAAACATGGAGAATTACAGCAACCAGGAATATAGCACTGGGGAAGAGGAGTCTTAAAGGAAAAGCAGTCAAACATTGACACAGAAAAGTATATGGTATGAAAGTAAAAAATAAGTGTAAGGAAGGCCAGGGATTTAGCTCAGTGGTTCCGCCGCCTGCCTCACAAGCACAAGGTCCAAGTTCTATCCCTGGTACAAAAAAAAAAAAAAAAAAAAAAAAAAAAAAAAAAAAAAAAGAAAAGAAAAATAAGGGTCAGGTGTGGTGGTGCACACCTGTAATCCCAGCACTCAGGAGCCTGAGGCAGGAGGATCATTGTAAATTTGAGGTCAGCCTGGAATACACAGTGAGTTCAAGGCTAGCCTGAACTATATATGATACCCTGTCTCAGAAAACCAAAAAAAAAAAAAAAAAAAAAAAAAAATAAAAAAAAAAAAAAAAAAGAAAAGAAAGAAAAAAAAAAAGTGTAAGGGCTGGAGTTGAAATTCACTGGTAGAGCATTTATTTAGCATGTCGAAGGCCCTGGGTTTGCTCTCCAAAACTACAAAACAATAATAATAAATAAAAAACAAAAAATAGTATTAAAAAACAGAACAAGTGTGGGCTAGAAGAGACCAGGGTAGGGAAATATCAATAAAACTACCACATACATAGTTGAATACCCAGTACACATCTGGCTCAGTTTAGGGAAACAGACATTCAAACACAGGGACTCTCTCAGCAAAGACATGATTTTCCCAGAGCTTGCCTAAGATAGTGTGAGTTACAGTCAGGAATACCTACTTGGTGCTTCCTGATTAAACCATCCCACAAATGACATTATCTCTTTGTAAGCATCACTCAAAGTGGCACTGGTTCTATCTGTTAATTCCTTCCACAGTAATAGTCATTATCTGACTCAACCTGGAGAGTGACATGGAGAGACAGGATAATTGGTGAAAAGTGCGGAACCAAAATAGTTTCTTAATTGCTGAATGAAAAGACCTTTCACAATTAGAAGTAAAATCCATCAGTAAGCAGTTAAGCTTGAGCTTAAGAAAAATCTATAGGAAGATAAGGGAACATGAGGAGAAGGAGCTCTGAGCACTGCAGTTTTCCCTTCAGGAGGGCACATCTCTTGCTGGCCTCAGTCTTACCTCGGCCAGTAGGACTATCCTCTTGCCATCAGGCCATATCACATGGTCAACTTGAGATCTCACTCGCTCCCAGGTCAGCTCTGGTGTCCGCAGACTTGCCTGGAACACATACAATAAAAATGTTATTAGCCATGGCAAGACTCATGTTGGTGACAAAGATGGTGAAAGGAGCCATTTCAAGGAGCAACCAACATGCCACATGGAGAATACCTGTCCTGGGTTGATTAGGACTGTTCCATTTCAAGGAATTTAATCTTACGCCCAAGGAATCACTCAGGATGTCATTCCACAACATACACTGTACACCCACTCTCTGCTTGAGCACAGTAAAAGGTGCTATGGGAAATACAAAAAAACCAAAGGCATGGTTTCTGCCTTCAAAAAGCTCACACTTTAGATGGGGACACAAAACAATGCAAATGTGATAGAAAAATACTTAAAGCGACATGCAAACAAGTGCAAATTAAATACAGTGCAAATTGAATATGTAAGTGCTGACGAAACACAGGAAAAAGAAAGATCAGAGCTGAGTGGGATTAGTTGGAGAAGGCCAAATGTCCTAAACAGCATGCTGGGGGGGCCCAGGGCTCTGCCCTCATGTCCCCATGTCCCAAGTTCCACCTTCTCAATGATGGTGTCCACCCTAAGGTAACAGAAGCTTTGTGACCTAAATGCAAATGTGAGGTATCCTTTTACAAAATGCTTAATAGTAGAGTAAAGCTCCTGATGGCTCACCCTCCTTCCATTTCTGTGTATTGTATATTCAGAGAACAAGAGAAAATATGTTAAGTTTATTAACAACAGCAACCAAATAACAGTTACAGGGTGCACACTTAAAACAACTACTTCCTTCTTCCAAAAGGAATGCCTAAAATATAAAGAGAGCTCATATTCCAAAACTACTCATTGGCTCATCTGAAAAACTCAAAAATTCTGCCAAATACTAGTTTTAAGACAAACAAAAATACTTTTAGTTATATAATAATCACTTATTGAGTATATATCATATTCTAAACATTGCAGTAAAGGACACAAAGATAGATAAGACTGTGGATTCTTTTAAGAGCATGAAAATTTATAAATAGGGACAGTTTTGTTTCACTTTTGCATCCTCAAGTTCTACCTAAACATACAATGGGGAGCTCAACTACTGTTTTAGATGTTCTTGGTCCAGTACCAAAACAGGAGGAAAGAAAGATATATAATTATATTTCAGTGTATTCAGAACTGTTCATGGTTTGGATTTTTTTTTTTTTGAGACACAGTCTCACTTTGTAGTTTAGGCTGGCCTCAAATATGCAGTGATATTACTGCCTCAGCCTCCTCAGTGCTAGGATTATATGTGTGTGCCATCCCACCTGACTCGGATCATTTTTTTATTAGAAAGAAGGGAAACTTGAAATTTCTTTTTTTTTAAATTTCTTGAGACATTAAAATTTCATAAAGCAATTCAATCTTCCCAGAGAGCAATTTGATAATAGCTAGGAAAACTTTATATGTATCTATTTTTGGACCAATTAGTTTCACTTTTAGGACTCCTTTAAATACTTGATCAAGTTCAGAATACAAGCATCCAAGAATGTTCAATCTAACATTACTATAATAAAAATATAAATCAAGAAGGGAATGGCTATGTAAAATCTGTATAGCTCCATATACTGGATTATTATGCAATTTAAAAAAGGAAAAAAAAAGTAGAAACTGGTGATGTAGCTCGTGGTCCAAAAGCTTGCCTAGCATACATTGAAGCCCTGGGTTCAATCCCAGAGAACTACCCCCACCCCCAATCTACTTTTTTTTTTTTTTGGTTTTTTGAGACAGGGTCTCACTACGTAGCCCAGGTTGGTCTCAAACTCACATCAACTCTCCTGCCTCAGCCTCCCGAATGCTGGGATTACAGGCATGCGTCCAATCTACATATGTTAACACAAAAACCACTGTTAAGTGGAAAACAGTTGCAGAACAATATAACATAAAGCCAATCTTGTAAATTTTTACTTCTTACTTTAAATATTATCATTTAGCCGGGCGTGGTGGCACACGCCTGTAACCCCAGCACTTGGGAGGCTGAGGCAGGAGGATCACTGTGAGTTCGAGACCAGCCTGGACTACAGAGTGAGTTTTAGGTCAGTCTCAACTACATAGTGAGACCCTGTCTCAAAACCACCCC